ACTAATTTAATAGCCACTTTTACCTGACCATGTTTTGCTTAAGTGTTTTTTCTTTAATTGCTAATGCAAACTTTTAACACCACAGACTGAACAAAATTAAGCATTGCTTGGTAATTGGTTGACCTAAATTGGTATTATCTAATTGCGTACCTAAATTTAACAGCTGAATAATTTTTGGTTGATTGTAATCCATTACATACCTTTCTATCAAAGTTATCCGACATTATCAAGATGAATTTGTTCTGACACAGTTTAACTCGGAGTTCTTGTCATATTTTATTACCATTTTCCAAACTATAGCGAATAAACTGTAATATAATGTGAGAAATGTTGAAGGTGTCTGAATAAATCTTGGTTCAACTGTATATGCAATAAAATATAATGATTTAAATATTTAATTATGGCTTCTTATATTAGCTACTAGCAAAAGTATGATTGATCAAATGTTGAGCTGATAATAAAATGCTACAGGATATTGAAAGTGTGCTAATGGAGGTTAGGTGTCACTAGAGACAGATTTTAGAGAGTAAGAATCGCACAGTTAATATCTTTACCAGTATGTGTCCGATTTTGACCTTTTATCAATACTTAGCAGTGTCTGCCAATTTGGACTACTTCATATCTGCCCTAGCTTTTGAGAAGCACTTGTCAGAGTATTAAAACGACAGCTACTTCCTTCGGTCCCAATCATGGGATAACAAGCCACAAACAACTTTTGCGTAAACGGTCCTTTAGTCAAAATTACATCCAGGAAATTCTCGCCTCAAAACTGCATTTTAAGCACAGCGTTATTACATTTTAGGCCGCTAACACCCAAGGGAAACTTTGAAAAATTCCTCAGCACTATATTGGTTAACCCATGCATTAGGATGTCAGGGTTAGTATTGACGCAAGAGACTCAGGGGGTCTTGTATGAGTCCTGAGGGCGGCGTGTGATTAATACATCAAACACTACAAGAAAACACATGGAGCTTTTCATTTAGAGACAACTCTAGGGCATTGTTAGCCTCTTGTGTGTATAACCGTCCAATGCCAGTCTGTCCATCAGAAAAGAGCAGCGGAGAGTCGAGAAGGAGAAGAAGAGCAACGAGAGATGGCAATGGACGACACGACAAGGAGGCTGGAGGGAGGTTCTGCGGTGGGTCTCTATTGAGGTAGAATATTAATTAAATGTATTAAACAAACATGGAAAAGGAACGAGGAGGCTGCGCGCCATCTGCCATCTGTGGTAGAAGTTGGGGTGGGGGGCTCTCTGAGGAGGAGTCATGCCTGCCGCTAGTTTAGCTTCAGTGGCACACACAGACAGATGGGCTCCCGCATCTCCAGGGAAAGGCCTACAGACCCTCTCTGCCTCAAGCCCTTTTTCTGTGCCGAAAGACGCAAGGAAAGATGTGCACATGGGTTGGAGAGAGAGATGGGAGGAGAACGACGATGGAAAAGACTTCAGTCTTACACCTGACCCAGCTGTGGATGGGAGTAATGCATGTGTGTTTGTGTAGTATATCCTCAGAATTTAAGCAATACTTGAACCCATTAACTTCACCTCCCTGGGGAGTTACTGAAGCAGAGCAAACAAAAGCCTGGAAGTTTCAACCTTGGGATCTAAGCACAATAACAAAAAAATAAATAAAAAATTGCACACTGCTTATCAGCAGTTGAATTTCTCACAAAAAAACATTGGTCCTGAAAACTAGTTTCACCCTTCAGTCACACTTAAAAATTGCTTAAGTATAATGCAAAGATATGAAGATTTTGTTATTATTAACTAAAACCAGTAAAAAAAAATGTTTAGGGGGTAATTAAAATATAACTGAATAAAATGTAAATATTAGACGAAACAATTACAATTAATTTAAGAAAGACTTCAGTCACCCTAACCCTAACTGAATAAAATGTAAATATTAGACGAAACAATTACAATTTAAGAAAAACTTCAACTAAAATTAGAAATGTTGACATAATGAAGTCCTGAAATTACTAAAACTGAAATAAAAGCACATAAAGTAATTAAAAACATATAGTTAAAAAAAACTTAAGTTAAAATGTAAACTGAAAAAATAAAAACATATTAACAAATACTATAATAATATTAAAGTAACACTGATCATTTAACATCAGCGAGAGTAGCTGTTCTGAATATTAATATGACTGACTGCAAGTAATCAATTCAAATATGAATGTGATTTTGATTTATTATACAACAGTTCAATACCAAATTTAATATTGAGAAACTTGCATTTCAGGCACAATATTTCCAGTCTATTGCTCTCAATATTTCCTGTCTATTAACCCCGGACACACCAAGCCGACGATCGTCCATCGGCGAACGTCTGTCGGGCTAGTTTGTTTGGTGTGTTCCAGACGTCGACAGGAGTTTGCCCGATTCCGGGGCCATCGGCGAGAGTGAGAACTCTGATTGGATGTTCAGTTTAGCGAACGAGTCAGTGCCCGAGAATTAAAGCGAAAGTGATCAAACTAGTAAGTAAATGAAGGCGGCACAGACAGAAGGCTGTTCTCATGCTACGTGATCTTACCCAAGCATTCCAATAAGGGAATAATTTCATAACAACATGAGCCGCTTAAAATGAAGAAAGTTGTCAACGTAACTGATATTCAAAACGTTAACGCAAGCGCTGCTTTGTTTACGTTTCATATATTTGCGTATATCTGGAATTGGTTCAGTTTCTCCTTTTAAATGACGAATATATACTATTGCAGCTGATATAGATAGCTAATTCCTCTCACGCAGGCGCAGAACGCACGTGTTAGTTTGCAGTCGGCTGTAGTCTGTGCGGTGTGTTCAAGTGCAGCTTTTTGGTCCAGACGCTGCCAACGTAAGCTGACAACACAAGCTGACAACACTGTCGGCTTTTGTCGCTGCTAGTTCTTTGAAGTCAGCTTGGTGTGTCCCGGCCTTTATGTTCTGTTATGAATTTCCATTGCACGATTTCAAGCAACACATTGTGGCGTTCCTGAATGAATCAGTGTTTTTGAACAAATCGGTTGAGTAAATGATACAATGACTCACTCATAAGGACAGATAATTGGATTGCTCCTGAAAGAATCAGAATTGTCACGTGTAAAGACAATGAACTAGCCTTTTGAAAGCATCAGTTGATCAATGTCTCACTCATAAGTAGGGCTGCACGGTAATCAGCGGTAAATCTCCATCACGTGCGTGCTTTCACATTGAGCAGCATTAACTACACAGAGCCGTTGTTCACTGACGAGCAGCGCAAAACCATGTTCATATTCGCGCGATTTTTTTGCGCAGCTCGTCAGTGAACAACGGCTCTGTGTAGTTAATGCTGCTCAATGTGAAAGCACACATGTGATGGAGATTTACCGCTGATTACAGAACCGGCTTTCTGACAAGATGCGCGTTAAATATCGCATGCGATTTATCGTGCAGCCCTACTCATAAGTCATTTACAGTGAAAGAGTAGTGAAAATCCCTGTCACTATAGCCTAATACACAGACTGACAGTGTGTCTGAAACACACAAACACAGCAATATCAGATTTGAGGACAGAAAATACATTTAACGGTATTTTAAAAGAAAATATTTTGTCAAGCAAATTATTTTACAAAAGGTTTGTTAGGCTCTGTACACATGACTTCACACATCCACTAACCAGCTAAGAAAAGTGAAGTTAGTTCTGAGAAAAGGTCATTTTTGCAGATGCCACTTTGATATAACACAATGACATTCAGACAATTTTAAGTGTGGCTTTGGTATCCAAAAGTGTCCAAATACTTTTTGGGGCCACTTTACATTAAACTAACAGTGTAGCAACAAAATTGATGTGCAATTTCCAATTCAAGAAATACTTGAATTTAATCACTCTGCGAAGCTCCGAAGCCAGCTTATCCTCCTGGCCTCTGCCAGTCATCGAAGACATTTCTTATACACTTATTCATTAGCACTGACACCTGATGCCAATCCTTTGTTGAGTCTTTAAAAAAATAGGTGACTGCAAGATGAATCACGAGTCCTCAACAGGAAACCTGTGATCTATGTTCACTTTCACTGAAAGGTAATTATAATTATGCTTCATGTCAGATATAATTTCCCTGGCCTAATTTTCAACCCACAGATGGATCAAATGGGTCCTCATTTGATGTCCTTGTTCATCTTCTTGCAGTCTGAATTAGTGTTGTCAAGGGACCGAGGTTGAGGTTTCTTCCTTCTAAATTGGAGAAGGTTAAAACCGGTATCTACAGTCAGACTTTTCGGTCTTATTTCAACAGCATGTGCTAATTTAAGAGTTTTTCCATTAAGGACTGACTTTTTGATGGGTCTCATCCTGGTCTTGCCAGTAAAAATGTCAGTGGTAAAAGCTTAGCGTACATTAGATTGTCTTAAAATTAAAAATGAGATCTTTATTGAAAAGTACGCTAGCAAAAGCTGAACTCAGAACCCGAAACAATTGGCATGTAATTGCTTATCAGACATGGGAATTTAGCAAACTCAATTTTCTCCGTCAGCCAATCTTCCTCATGTGCTCTAATACACTGTCTTGTAGCTTTTCATGTCACTGCTAGCAGAGAACGCCAGAGCCATGTCAAAATGACACTGAGACGTCGTTAGTTTCATTTAAAATTACACTGAACAAAAGCGAGCATTTAGCTGGGTTATCACCTTCCCGTGTCACTTCACATAATGCCAAACGTCACATCACAGCAATTTCTGCTCAGCCATTCATACGCACATCCAGCACAGCTAATGTTAGCATTGTGTACATTACTGAGATTCATAAATACACACAACCGCTGTCTCCTATTATTGCAATCCACATTCCAGCCCTAATGGCATGTGAGGAAAATAAGCGTGACACACAGCAACATATAATGATACGTAGATGAGATGAGACCGCATCTTAATAGACAGGACATGGAATGGACAGGAAAATTAAGTCCCTTTCACTAAAGTCAACACGCTTCTTCCTCCCTGATTACCATAGGAGAACAAATTGGCAGATGTGAGAAAACAATAGATGTCTTGGCTCACAGAGCTCTTTGACCTCAAAAAACAAGTCAATATCCATAGAAGCAGAGGATCTGAGCCCAATTCCATCCCCCTCATTATCACAAGTACAGAAGTCCATGTTTTCATCCTGCTGTCTGAAAAGCTAATGGATGCATTTGGACTTCTGAGCTAGCAAGTTGCAAAAATTTTCTATGATCATTTCTGTTTTTAAAATGAGCACTGTTTTTGCAAGAATGTATTAAGATTGCCATCATACACCACATCAAGACAAAACAGGTTGTGACCTGTAAAAATATTGTTTATAAATATTGTTTATAAATGTATTATACTGCAGAAACTAGAACAAAATAATCTGAGCTCAATGTCTCTGAAATATGTTAAATAGTATTAGGCCAAATAAAAGTAGGTCTATTTACAGTACCATTCAAAGGTTTGAAACATGTCATTGAAACTTTTATTCAATCAGAATGCATTAGGTTTATCAAAAACTAAATTTGTAAATAAAAACCTAAAATTGGTGCATTAAACTGCTTAAATTATATAGCCTACATATGTTACAAATTACCATTATTTACCAGTGAAGTCCATTTCGAGACTCGTATGAGCCTTTTCGTTTTTTGTAAATTACACAGCGTGACTAGTGACATCTGATTCCTAGGCGAATGACTCTTATGATGTGGTTTGATCATTCACTGTATCAAACACCAGTGGTGGACGAAGTACACAAATCAAGTACTTGAGTAAAAGTACAGAGCCGTATAATAAAATATTACTCCAGTAAAAGTACTCAGTTTTCAATTTTACTCGAGTGAAAGTACAAAAGTACTTGATTTTTTATGTACTTAAGTAAAAAGTACCGATAGATGAATGTTTATTTTGCAGTTTTATATAGGCTACTTTTATAATTTAATTTTATATTAGCATATATTTTTTTATAATCCTACTGCTCAAAATACCTGGGATTTTCCCTAAATAACCAATAAGGAAATAATGAATATAATAATGAAAATATAATTAGATTTTCATAATAATTTTTTTCTTCTCAAACCTTGTCTGTGGTGTAAAAACACCCCTGGCCAAATGCCCCCAGAGGGCATCACTTCCCACTTTGATAATTACTGTAGTTACCATGTTCTGAACATCACATCCTTTCTTTTTCCCTCAGATGTAATCTATCTAGGTGGTTGAATAAAAATATTTGGATTTAAAAAAAATTACCTCAATTTAGCACCAGCAAGCTCGTTAGCTAGACAGTTAGCATCAGCCAACATTGACTTATTTTCAGCATGGTTATGAATAAATATTTATATTTGTATACTCGGCTAGTTGATCCAGATACATAGTAACTTAGGCTGTGTGTGCTGACAAACAATATAAAAACAAAGGTCACATAGGGCTAAATGCATAGCATTTTATTAAAACTGCTAACGTTACAGCAGCAGGGAAAATGAACGTGCATGAGTTATTTTATTTAATCTGTGTTATTTTAATGTTTTTTGACCTAAAACATAGAGACTCTGATGTTAAAGGGATAGTTCACCCAAAAATGGACGTTTATCTGCTTACCCCCAGGGCATCCAAGATGTAGGTGACTTTGTTTGTTCAGTAGAACACATATGATGATTTTTAACTTTAACTGTTGCGGTCTATCAGTCGTATAATGCATGGCAATGGTAACAAAATCTATGAGAGTAAAAAAAAAACATGCACAGACAAATCCAAATTAAACCCTGCGGCTCGTGACGACACATTGATGTCCTAAGACAC